GGGGAGGCAGCAGCACTGCAGGCCCAGCCGGGCCCGGGGAAACTGAGCGACTTGCAGTGGGCAGTCAGTGCTGAGACAGCCAGCGAGGTGCTGGCTGCTCCTGGCCAGACTGCGGGGGGACGGGCGAGAGGGAAACACTGGCAAAACCCCCCCAAGCCTAGAATTCTTGCCGCTGACACCAATACACGCATTTTGCATTTCAAAAAACTCCTTTATGGAGAACAGTGGAGGCCAGTGAAGTCCAGCCCCATGGCTCAGCTTCTGATGGAGAACCTGCCTTTCTAGCAAGTCCCGGGTGAGGCCGAAAGACTGGGAGGGGTGGGGGGCGGAGAGGACTCTGAGCACCGCGCGGCTCAGGCTGATCCGATTCTCCTGAGCGCCATGAGCTTTTTCTCGTGATTTTCTTCTCGTTCTCTGGGAACGAGAATCCATCTACGTGAGCCTTGATTTTCCTCCTCCTCTTATACCTGCAAGCTTAGTCTGTGCAAACTCTACTTCCCACTCCAGACAAGAGCTTCACATTTGGAAAAAAAAGATTTTACAGCTCCCGCTCATTAACGTGGAAATGAGTAACGATGCCTTATCTCCCCCGAAGCACCTGCTCTAGACCCAAGAGCAAAGCCTCAAGTCAAAGAGAGAAACTTTAACAATGGGATTTCAGATATCCAAGCACTGAGTGTTCTAGGGTGATCAAGAAAGCCTTCCTGGCTCACTCCCCAAAAGACCACATTTTACGTTATCGCTTTGCACCTACTTCACCTGTGTCCCAAACAGCATTGTGTCTTTGCCAGCCAGCGTCTTTCCCGAAGCCGCCATGACGCCAGGCAAACTGTTAAGTGCTCACGCAGTGTGTGTCGCACCAGTAAACGGCAGCGAGTGCTCTGGCAGGAGACAGGCCTGTCCTCTGCCTGGAGCAGATCAGAGGCGAATGCCAAGCCCTTCCCAACTGCTCACTGCGCCTCATCACAATCAAGAAACACTAACGCAGCACCTTCTGCATGCAGACCTCCCGGGCCGGGCCGCAGGCCGGAGCAGGACCCCCAAGTCAATCTGTGCACCAGTCAATCAGCTGGGGTCTCACTCAGCCACTCACTCATTCACGCAAGTCAGTGTGCTAACTCTGGTCCCCAAATGAGGTGAAATACCCATAGTCCATTTAAGATCTCAGGGTGCAATTTGGGGTCCCCATGCAGAGCACTGGAGCAGAGAAGAGAGGGAGAGAGCAGGTCTTCTAGAAAAAAATTCATGGCTCAGAGCTAGTTAAGTTGGGATGAATCAGCAAAAGCCTCCCAAGAATTTGGAGGAAGAAAAGACTCAGAATAGATAGGGTTTCTCCTCCTGGGCCCCGTTCCTTAGGGCCACAACTTCCCTGTTTCCTCGGGGCTCACAAGCTTTAAGGAAAGGCCGTCTTTGTGCCCATCTCATGGATAAAGAAACTGAGGCCCAGGGGACCCCAGCAGCTGCGAGAGAGTAAGTAGAACTGAAGTCTCCTGTCTCTGAGCCACATCGTCTCTCTCCTGGACCCCAAACCTGCACGGCTGTCCCCCATCTCACCCCAGGCTTATTCAGGGGTGATTTCGCGTTGCCATCAATAACGTCATTCCACTGCTAACGTCTGTTCGGCGCCTACTTTTTGCCAGGTCCAGCACTAAGCACTGTGCAAACATTGACTCTTAAAATTCCCACAATTCCCTATCATCCCCACTTTGCAGGGAAGGAAGCTGAGCCCCAGAGAGGAATATGCCACAACCACAAAATGCTGGAACAGGATCAAGAGCTCTTTTTCCAGTGCCCAAACTCTCAGTCAGCACGCTGTCTTAATATACCTGACTGAGAGAATTAAGGCTCAGAGAGGTCAAGCATCTTACTTGAAGTCACACAGCTCAAAAGCTCCGGAGTCAGATTCCAACTCGAGGTCACTCAGAGGCCCACACTGAAGGCTCCAGGAGTTCAAATAGGTGGTGAAGATGAGGAAAGGAGAGAGGGCTACTTGTGCAGTTTCTCCTTCACTACCCCAGCACATCAACAATCCCCATCCTGGGTGGCAGCTGAATAATTTAAGCTCATCGCCGCCAGCCCACCACTACTGGGTCCCAGGTTTATTTTTATCCCAGGTTACAGCCACCATGCTTAACAGAAATAACCCACACTGCTGCTCATCGCCTTCACATCAACTCCTGATTTATCGGCATTTACGACCAGCCCCCCACTCAGAGGGGATAAAGAGGAGAAGACAGGTCCATATGCCGTGGTGGTTTTTATTAGAAAGTCACAAATTCTATGAGGGAGGAAGGAGGGTTGGAGAGAGGGGGAGAGAAACGGGAATGAGAGAGCAGCCTTGAACAGGCAGGAACAGTATGAAAGGGGGGACAGCAGAGCAAGCTGGGGGGCCTGGCGTGCCGCCACCCTCTGGAATCGCACGATCTCTGGCCTCTGCCTCCTTCCCTCCAGCAAGAAAAGAAATGCCCATGTGTGTCGCCATGGCTCTGCTTCGCGATCACCAGTACGGGCCGGAGAAGCACCTGCTGAATGTCCTCCCCCGCCCCCAGGCCCCCAGGCGCCCAAACTGGGTGGGGGGAGTGAGGGCTGCGGCGGCCAGGAGTGTGGGCGACACCTTGCTCTTCGCGAAGACGGACTCGTACATTCGTGTGCCGTGACCTGCTGTGTGGTCTTGGGCGAGTTGCTTTCACTCTCTGAGCTTCCCAAGGGTTAGACTAGGTCAGAGGCTCTGAATCTGAGGTGCTAAGAGGGCACTAGGGAGAGCCCATGAGCCCCTGATGTGGTATGTTTGGAGGCACATTATCAGCAGGGAAATTCTCAAAGGGGTTCTTGCTGTACCCCTGGGAGAAGTCTGTCCGATCTTTGAGTGCTGCAGAATTCGTGCATCTACGCATCTGAATACACTAGACCCCTCTCCAGGTGGTGAAGGGCTCTAAGAACTTAGCAAAGTCCCCACAAGAGACCCACCCCATCCTAATTCTCCCCCAGAAGGGCTTCTTAAACACAGGATACATTTTCCAAATCAGTACAAATCTGTGTACCTTATTTTGGGGTACAGACACACGATCACATAGTCACAGAACCTCAGAGCTGGCAGGGGTCTTGGGGTCACCCAAACCAACTGCTTCGTTGCACAGATGGGGAAACTGAGGCCCAGAAAAAGGAGGCAGAGCTGGAGTTGGAACCCAGGTCTCCTGATCCAAGTCCAAGACTCTTTCCAGAAGCTTCTGCTTCCCTCTGCCTAGCGCAGCACAATGCACCATTTCAGATGTGATGGGGGAGGAGGGAGGGCAGTCTCTTGGATTTTAGCCACTCCCAAGGAAGTAAGCTGGAAGGCAGCAAGGCGATGTCTAAAAAGCACCTACAGTGGACATGCGCTGCCTGATGGGCAGGGTTCAGCGTCCAGCAGTACCCTGTATGGAGGGGGAGGCCGCACTGAGGCCCCCGGCTCCCTTGATCATGCCCCAGTGTGCCCAGGAGCCTCCCCATCATCAAGCTATTCAAGGGTTAACGCTGCCCAACAGGGGACCAGCTAAGATCCCTCCACGACACCCAGCCACCCAGCGCAGCCCAGTCTGAATAGTTAGTGCCAAAGTTCTGTATCTTAAACATCACTTAGCACCAGATCTGTGTGTGCTTAGTTGAACTAAATTTCCCCACTTTCGTCATTCACGCTTGAGACTGCCCAGGGAGCAAACTAAGACGCCTTTCTGCCCAAGGTCATGCAGGAGGGAAGCCTGAGGTTGTGAGGACCCAGTCGGGGCAGCAACGAGGGAACAGCCCTGCCCTGGCCTCGCAAGTGCTGTGAGCAGGCACATGGCCCCAGACTTCAGCATCCCCCCGGCTCCCAGGCTGGAGATGACTGAGTGGGCCCTGCTTACATTTCAGGCTTGCCAGTCTCTGAGGCTGATGTTTTATTCCTCCCACCTCCGAGAATAAGAACCTAAAGAGGAAATCCTTGGGGGTGCAGAAGCCTGAAGTGGCCCCTGCTAAAAATAAGGATATTCATTTCCAGCAAGGTAGATGTCGTCAAGGTAGGCGGCAAAAAGAAATCCCCTCTTGTTGGGCCACAGATCAGCAGCAAAGACATTTTAAAATTAAATGTGAGTTTTAGGATTCAGTTACAAGGGACCTCTGCTTCCCCCTCACTAACAGGTTGGTGCTGCCTCCCCCAGCACGATTCAGCTAAAGGAGCCAGTGCAGAGGTACAAGTCTGCCCCGGAACAGATCTGAAGCTGGAGCTTGGAGCCTCTCCCCAGAATCTGATCCAACCCTGCCCCCCTATCTCCCTCTGCTGAGACAGGCTCAAGGTTGGGGTGTCCGGGGTGGGTGCCAGGATGCACTCCCTCCAATCATTTACAGGTTATACCACCTGTGAAAGTCAAACACCTCCTGCTCAGCGACTGCTGGCTGCTTCTCTCTGGCCTCCCGGAGCACTCATTCTCAGCAAGTCATGATCCCTTCATGGCTCCTGGGTATCTCATCACAGTAGGCTACCACGGCTAAATTACTCAGCTCTTCCTGGAAGATGGTGCAATTCCAGCTCTGTACTACGCAAGCCTCACCTGCTGTACCTGAGGCCCCCAGGCCAGGGCTAACCTTCCGGCCTCCGGCGAAGGTGCCCAGCCTCGAGAACAGAGCACCCACGACTGTCCAGGCTGGTGCACCCCACAAAGGGTTAAGTCACTGAGTCCTGCCGGTTGCTTTCAGCAGCTTCTGCAGCCAGGAGGAGCAGGTTGGGCAGAAGCCACAGTTCTGATCGCGCCTAAACATAAGTATGTTTTACCCCTCCTTGGGCATGGAGCCAAAATCTCATTTGCCTTTGGGGTGCCGGCTAGACAGTCAAACACTGCAGAATGTGGGCAAATAAATGTGGTCATTGCTCAGCACCCCTCCCCTCCAACCTACCCCCGCCCACCGGCTCTCCCATGCACACCTCATTGCAGCTGGGATCCCAATGACCCTAGCCCGTTTGCGCAATTCAAAAGAATATCACTTACCACAACACTGGAGGATCACAGGGGGAATGGGGGAGCCAAATTCCTGCCAACTCCCGCCTTCCCTGCTGGGTGGGAAGATGCTAACTGCCGATGACTTGGTTTGAAAGCTCCGCGGAGGTGCCTGGAAGAAAATTGTTCATTTGACTCTCCTACTCTTCCCAAAATAAAATCAAACGACAGTGCATACACAGACGCGCGCACACACACACACCAACTACCCCTAAATCAGGCAGGACCAAGATGACAATAAATACCGCTGCCAGAAGAGGAGAAAAACTCAGACCAGCCAGTGGACAAGGCAAAAGCTTGATTTCCTCAGACCGCACTTCGCAGGGATGAGGGTTTCGCTCTGCAAGCCTCTCTCTCTCTCTCTGTCTCCTTCTCTCTCTCTCTCCCTCTCTGCCGTCCACGTAGGCAACTCCAGACTGCTGGCAGGAGACGAATCAATTGCTTCTCAGTGCCCGAGCGCAGCGACTGCCACCAGTGCTGCAAAGCCCTGCGAAAGCAGGGGGCGGCTCCCCGCGCAGGGGAAACCAAGCCGCCTCCCACCCGTGATTTGTGAGAGGTGCCTGGAGAAAGGGAGGCGGGAGGCCTGGAGGAGAAACTGGGCGCCCCGAGATCCCGCTGGTCCGAAAGGCGGTCAGGAGACTGGCGATCAGCACCGCGGACAGCGCTACCCGCGGAGGCGGGGCGGGCGGCGCAGCCCTGGCAGAGCTCAGTTACCCAAGGGGAGAGGGCAGGGAAAAGGGGGCCCGGGGGAGGGCAGGGAAAAGGGGGCCCGGGGGAGGGCAGGGAAAAGGGGGTCCGGGGG